TGTAGAATTAGTTCCTGTGGATTTTCCCTAGAAAATCGAGCAGCTCAATGTCCTGTTCCATTGGTTCGTTGATTTCGAAGGGTGACCCCATTATGTATTATATATATATATAATTTGATGATGATGATGATGATGAATGGTATCCGACATCCAAATCCTGATGAATTTTGTTTGGTTAAATCCCAAGCATTACTGGTGAAATCCACAATTTTGCTGATATCGTCCAATTTTTGATTCATGTGTTTGTAATTTCTGGACAAACCTATGATTGATGGTTATATATCCCATTATCCATTTATATCCCATTAGAGCCCCAAACAGATCCCCAACTTTGATGGTTGCCATAATTGTTTGATGGTAAAGCAATCCCATGGAACCAGCGGGATTCGCGGGATTCGCAGGTTGTCGTAGTGAACACCTTTTTGGAGATCAAGGCCGGCTGCGAAAACGGGTCCTGGGCACCCAGGGTTGAATTCCATCCACAAACATTGGTACTAGTATTGTCTGAAAACAGGGTATACTCCCAAAAACAGAATTCTAATAGGGAAGATGAGCATCGACCATTGGATTTTGCTACCGGGTACCCTATTTTCAGACAACCCCACATTGACAAAAAATGGTGCTTTTCAGCGTCCAAGTGGATGGTTCAAGATGGCAAAAGGCTCAAGAATTCACCAAGACATGGCTCATAATCATCCCAAAAGCTATGGAAGTTGAATCATTCAATCACTTGGGGGTTTCTTAGAATGGGAGATCCCCTAAGTCACTGTGAGTTTCAGTACTAAGTCATGGTCTGATGACTTGTTTGATTTATGATTTGGGGTACCCCCATGACTTGTGAAACCTCCATTTGAAGCCGAAAAGTTGGATGAAGAAGCGACCGTCCCTCCAGCATTCCCCCCGCAGGAAAAGAAGCGACCAGCTTTCGGCCGAGCTGGGACCGCTCCAGCTTCAGCCTTCAGCGAGGAAGCTGAAGTCCCTGAAGTGGAGCAGAAACCCATTGAAGAGGACGGTGGGAGCTGGTGATTTATGGCAAATTTATGCCAATTTATGATGATTTGATGGTGATTGATGGTGATTTATGGCCAAAACCATGCCGAAGATCATCCAAATACTGTACCAGTTTTGAGCACGTAGACTTCTAATCGGGGTAGAATAAGGGGTTTTTGATGGGAATAATTGGGATTTCAGAAACTGGGATAGTAAAGAGGGTAAGCTGGGGATATTTAGGGATCAGACAGCGACCATGCGGATGCACGAGAATATCACCCAGCAATCATGGTGAAATATGAAGCAAGCATAATGAGGATAGTGCTCATATGGAAGATCTTGGGATGGGTCAAACCATTACTGTATGGTACCTGTCATGTGCACACCCATGCAGTTGGTTGTTTCTGGCTGTAAACCATCCATTTTTTGGGGTTTACATTCCCTCTGGCAGGCCAAACAGGCAACGAAAAATCCCCCAGTGATGGAGAACGGGACTTTTTGCCATTGGATTACCTGAAGCCGATATCGACCTCTAACAACACAAATGATGGTCGCTGTTGGGTTGACCTAAATTTCGATTTTGGATTTATGACAGTATCTGGATTTGGGATGGATGGGTCACAAGTTGAGACCCAGGTGCATGCAGATTTTCGGTAATGTTTGGTGTCTTAAGATTTTTAAATCCAGTGAACTTAGATGATTTTGGCGGTTCTCAGGAGGTATCATGACTGTTGGGTGGGGGATACTAACATGACCAAGTTTGGTTTGCCGGGAAGCGGCCCAGAATCCATGGCATTTCTTTGGGGAGGCTGCGGGCCATTTTGTGACCTGCTGACCTCGTCAGGAGAACGAGGTCAAGAGGGCCCCAGCTCCAAACAAGAGCCTTCGAAAGAGACCCAGCATCTTGGCTGCGGATGTTCACAAAAGGACGCTCCTAATCATCCTAATCCCATCGCCGAGAATTTAGATGCACTCAAATATCCAAATGTTTGGGACGCCAAGTTTTTTGAATAGATCCAGTACATTCCACTGGGGTTTTCTGAATGGGGGGCATTTGATCTTCGGGTGATGAGTCAATTTTGACACCGATGGTTGCAAAATGTTGCAACAATCGGGGTCCCCAAGAATTCAAGAATCACCTACTTTCAGCTCCACAGCATATGCACCAGCCGCCTGCACTGCCGCGCAACACGCTTGTGCTGAGGCTTAGAACGTTACAACACGCCCGACCTATGGGAGCAGCAGCAAATTCTCCAAGAAGTCTGGGAGACCAGCCAGGTGTGGGACCGTTGCGATCGGTTGTGGAAATGGCTCATGAAGGGCTGACCAGGCTGAAGGGCTGGCAGTGGAAATCCACCATTGAATCCGCTAAGAAACCATTCCCAACTAACCCCCTATAATAGCTAACTTTACTCTCCACTAAATTACCATAGATATGGGAAATTGACCATTTGTAGATCATTTTCCGTGGGTTTACAGATTCTCAGGCCCCATAAACCCCTATTTTGATGATTCCCTATAAATTGGCTGGTTAAAACGGTTCGTTCACCACTGGGTCATAGCAGGCGGCGGGAGCCACGGCTCCCGCACTTCCAAGAATGGACGAGGAAACCACAGAGCAGCAGTCTCTGCTGGTCGCGTGGTCGCGCTTGCGCGGGTCTGCTGAGCAGGGCTGGCACCCATCCCACAAGTAAATCCGAAGATGAAGAATGTCAGCCACAATGCCTTATAGATTTTTAACGGGCTTTTCCAATTTGGAGGTGTGTCATTTAGGACATTTTTGCACAGGCAGTCTTTAGAGGTCGCTTGGGTCTGCCCATATTGGTTTGTTTGAAGGATTTTGAAGGGCTTTGACGGATGACAGGCATATTCTTATAGCCCCCTACAAACTCTCCATTGATGTGAGTATATGTAGACTAGACGTTTCAGTAACCAATGTCATTTCCTTCCCATGACTTAGTGCCTGACTCGGATTTCCTGCCCATCACCGTCGAGCACCATATTACCATATCATATTTCATCATATTTCCATACGATTGGTGATGATTGGTGGGGCTGATTCATCGATTTTCATCAATGGAGCTGGAAATATGCAAACATCACAGGCATTTGTTGCCTTCTCATTCCCAAAACTAGTGGCCATCAGAAAGCGGCAACATACGCTGAAACCCTTGATGAGGGGATGGAGATTTGTTGATTTTTCCTTTGTGATTGACCTGTGGAACATGCTGACTTTTCATGACTTTCCATTGCCAAAGTATCCATATCCATGTTGGGTGGGAAAATGTCTCCTTCTTGCTTGCTGGTCATCCCAACTTTTTGCAACCAAGCTGGGTAGGCGTCACAGGTATTGACCCGCAAAAAATGCATGATGTAATAGAAGAAATGACAACAATTGTAGGTCCAACCAGGCACCCCAAAAGTTTGACTCATTCCAAGATCTCCCATATTCCATATTTGTAAATTTCCCCGTTCTTCTCGAGATCCCCGCGATTGCTGGGTTCCTCCTTTCGCCCTGGACCCCCCGCTATTGGCCTATCCAGATACTCAATGCCTCTGTGTCTGCAAATACTCATATGTAGATAAGGACACATACACACATCATATAATATATATAATATATTTAAGGGCTGCCGCCCCTGCCGCCAACCCCGGAAAAAAGGGGAAAGAGGAAAGGGCACGAGCAACATTTTCTAGATATAACTGTAGAATTCTTGATAAATTATGTATGATATGGAGATGGATATAAATGATATGGATATGGTTATGATATGGTGATTTATGGACGTATTGTAGGATCAGTAGGATTATCTGCAGCCAATGTTGTAAACAAGATGATGAATTATGATCATCACCTGCAAATTATGACCTGAATTTGTAATATTTAATCTAGTATATTCTGATACTGAGATGCTGGATCCGAATTTGCGGTGTATCACTGATTTGGCTTCTTTTCTTAACGGAAAAGGAACACACGAAAATAGAAAATGTTGGCTCCCCAGGACATCTACATTAGGGAAGGATTGACCGCCCAAATGTGAAGGTAGTTAACCTTGACAGATACACATACGTATATTTATGCCGAGACCAAAAATTATGCGCCAAACTTGGTCAGCAAAAAATGACATGAGACCTGACACAATTACTTCTCCTGACCCTTCGGCCAGGCTTCATCTAGATCCCTAGGACTCCTTGAAGTGTATGTGGATAGAAAAGTGTTTTGAAAACTTGCGCCATGGAGTGCTGCATCTCCCCAGTTGTTTTTCCACCTGGAGAAAATAATGGAAAAGGAGCTCGAAGATGACGTTCTCGCTCACATCAGAGCTTGCTTTTTGCCAGAAGTGTGGCCATCGTGACAGAAGTAGAACTGATCTTTGGTATGTAGCCACAATAAGATGGTTGTGCTCAAAACTCGCAGTAGGGCATTGGGCATGAAAGATTGGTTGTGATTTGTTATCAAATGCTGGTGATCATCGAAGAATCCGTTTGAAACTGTGTAATGCCCAGGTCTGAAGAAATTGGGATAAGCTATAGATACAATGTGGCCCCCGGTCACCAATACAATTGTAGGTATATAGTCTATACACAATAAATAGACTATAGTTTCATTTTTAATTTTAGTCAACTTACAAACGTATGTAATTTTTTTGGTGGCCACCGTCAAGGGCTTTTAGGGTAAAGTAAAGCAACCGATGAACGTAAGTACAGTTGAAAAGTTCACCACCTTCAGGGTAATAGACCAATCACCGCAGCACTCGCTAGCAGAAATGAGGATTTTCACGACCACCTTCACAACCATCACGGCGAAGTTTGTCTTCACTTGGAAATCCCCCGACTTCCAAGGTTTGAGTATGTTTTAGCATCATGTCACGTATGGAAAAATACCATTTTGGGGTGACTGTCATTTGCAGACTTCGTTTCATAGAGTTTATGTTACTTGCAATTCCAGAAGCTATACGAAAGCCCATTCATACGACCCAAATTACATACATATACGATTATATAGAGGAATATTCCATTGATCCCAGAAGTTTGTTTATCTTGCTGGTGGCGCAGGAACTCTGCAGTTAAATCATGGCCACGGTGGTCTGGTTGATAATGTCGGTGGTAAGTAATGTGGCATGATGGGCATGCAATGCGCTGATGTGGGCTTAAAGACGGTGAATGCGTGTGTCGAACATGCTACCTCATGATCACGTTGCATGATTTTGCAACTCATGCAATCTTGCAAGAATAAGCATCTGAAATAGACTTGGTGACTGCGAAGTCTGTAAGAACAAAGTGTGAACATCTAAGAGTGACGGGGATCCAGCCATAGAACATCATTTGCTTTTAGGGTTAAATTACGTAGCCGGAATAGCATCGAACTATGCAGACATGTTTGGTTACGATTAAAAAGTTACGTACACACCCAACAGAACACAACATGCCACCTCGACGTGATGGAACGCTTCCGGTCGGGCGAGTAGAGGCACGGTCGAGGTCACCACGGTCAAAGTCGCCAGTGGCAGAGGAGAAGAAGACAAGACATCGCGGAAACGGCCAAGCAAGGTGCGAAGGGCGCAATTGCATAATGCAGAAAAGATTTGGAAGTGGAATTTGAGAAGGATCAAGGTGAGGAATCAGCCGATATGAGGTCTCTTCAGAGGCAACTTGAAGATTGGAGCTTGTCCCAATTGTATATGAGTTTGGCATTTCTCGTTCAAGTTGTTCATCGTATTTTGTCAATTTGGGAACGGTTTGGTTGCGGTCTGATAGGAGGCAACCCGATGTGGGAAAGCTTCGGATGAAACTTTGATCAGCCAGGATGTGGAGAAGAAGTGTTTTCGCTTGCAGTCCTTCTCCACTGCTGCAGCGGGGAAGGTTGCTGCAGCGAGTTTGGGGCGCCGGTAAGTATTGGAGTGGCTATGGCTGCCGCCTGCTGCCGTTCAACAGAGGAATACGCGAAGAAGACGTTTCCTGGTGTGCAAATGGGGCCAGGGACACCGGTAGGTGCGACTTTTTGTGCTATTTCGTCTGCTGCCGCTGCCACTACTGCTGAAAGACTCGCTGGTTTTACCGCTGCGACTTTCGCTGGTACTACCGCTGCTACCACCGCTGCCTCCTGCTGCTCTTGTTGTTGCTACTTGTAGTCATCTCTTTCTCAGACTGCCACTGCGGTTGCTTCTGCTGTTCTTGCCGCTGCTGGTGTAGAGTCACTTGCGCCGCATTGTAAAATTCCGTGTTCATGTTTAGTATTGTGCTCCTTGAACGGAGCTGTGGTGTAAACACAAGCATGGCGGGTGTAACTCAACGGACGCATTGTTTACCAATATTGCTGTTGTAAGGATGGCGGAAGCGCATCTTCAACGACTATCTCCACACTTGACATCACTTTATATTTTGTAGACGATGGAGGGTTTCCTTCATTTCGATCGATATGGACGATGCAGAAATATACGAAACGATTTGCTGTGGAAGGATTTGCACGGACCCACAGGTACGTAAGCATTTAGCTTATCAGAAAGGGGGAGATGCAGAGAGTGACAGGCAACGTAGACATTGTAATGCCTTTTCTTCATCCTCAGTGTGTGTTTTGCGTAGTCGTTTCTTGCCATCCGTGGAAAGATCGCGTAAGCGCTGCGTATGCAAAAGGTGCTTTTGTCAGTAGTTGCCTATGCTGCCCAAATCCAAACTCTTCGCCAATCTTGGGCATGAGGGCAAGGAATTTTGACACAGACCGTGTGCGACACGCTTGAACAGCACTGTCTTGCTCTAGATGAAGCCCACTTCAAGCCGGAGATGTGACTGAATATACCAGAAAGTTTGCAAGCCAAAAGGCAAACAAGAGTTCGTGCATGTCTTTCCCCAAACGTTCTTTGCAAGAGAGGCTCTCCAGGTATGCCTGTGCTTTTAGCAAGGACGCTGTCAAAAAGATGTCGTCAGCTGCGTGCTGTGCGAACGGCTGCTGGTGGTACTTCTTCATCATCTCCTTCCTCTTCTTCCACGTCTTCAGCGTCCACTGCTCGATTTTGCCTTAGAAAAGGTGGTGTGGGAAGCTGAAACTGTGGTGAGATGCTAGAATTTGTCAGCGTCAGGTGTGCGTAAGGGAAAATAACGCGTGTGAGGAAAACGTGTGTGGCAGAAGCAAAACGTAATTCATTTGCTTCCTATGCTTTTGGCAGTGGTGCGGGGCGGGTGGTGCGTGGGCATGAGCATGCTATGAGTAGAGAGCCGTGTATATCGCCCCGCGGAGAGGAATCGAGTCGGATTCAGAGAGGGCTGGCATGGTTGACACCAATTGTGGCGCAGCTGCTTGAGGACCGTGGCAGTAACCTGCAGTGGCTGGAAGCACATCTTGGCAGCGGCCTGTTGCGTGGCTGCAGTGGGCGCCCAAGGAAATTTCTTCCGTGGCATTGTGGAAAAAGGAGAAACAGTTGCCAAATGTGTGCTGCTGCTGCTGACAGAAGTGTGCCAAAAGCACCTCCCGGCGCCAAAACAGCTGCTGCTGCGCCTGCTGCTGCTGCTGCTGCCGCGCCAAGAGCCCTGTATTTGCTGCTGTTGCTCCTCCTGCCGCTGGTAGTAAAACAGCTCCGAAAAAATCACCACCCGGCAGGGAAACACCATGCCTCTGAAGGACGAGCTAGTTCCAAAACCGCGCCAAAAAACTCCCTAACGTGTCGTCTGAAATCCTAGAAAAACAGCATTTTTCGATAGATTCTGTTGCCTGCGGCTGCTAGCAGTAAAACAGCTTCGAAAAAATCACTTCCGGCAGGGAAACACCATGCCTCTGAAGGACGAGCTAGTTCCAAAACCACGCCAAAAAACTCCCTAACGTGGTCTGAAATCCTAGACAAACAGCATTTTTCGCTAGATTCTGTTGCCTGCGGCTGCTGGCAGTAAAACAGCTTCGAAAAAATCACTTCCCGGCAGGGAAACACCATGCCTCTGAAGGACGAGCTAGTTCCAAAACCACGCCCAAAAACTGCCTAATGTAACTTCTGAAAAAGATGAGTTTAGCTCCTTTTTCCTCTTGCTGCTGCTGCTCCTGCTCCTGCTACCTCTTCCGTTCAAAAGGCAGCTCCCGGATGGGAAAAACACCATGGCAGTAAAGGACGGAAAAGCATCAAAATTGCGCCCAAAAACTACCTAATGTAACTTCTGAAACCCGTAGAGAAAGATGAGTTTAGCTACTTTTTCCTCCTGCTGCTGCTGCTGCTGCTGCTCTTGCTCCTGCTACTCCTTCTTTTCAAAAGGCAGCTCCCGGATGGGAAACACCATGGCAGTGAAGGACGCAAAAAGCAGCAAAATTGCGCACAAAAACTGCCTAATGTAACTTCTGAAACCAATAGAAAAAGATGAGTTTAGCTACTTTTTCCTCCTGCTGCTGCTGCTGCTCCTGCCCCTGCTACCCCTTCTGTTCAAAAGGCAGCTCCCGGATGAGAAAGCAGCATGGCAGTGAAGGACGGAAAAGCAGCAAAATTGCGCCCAAAAACTGCTTCATGCAACTTCTGAAACCCATAGAGAAAGATGAGTTTAGCTACGTCTGAAACCCATAGAAAAAGATGAGTTTAGCTACTTTTTCCTCCTGCTGCTGCTGCTCCTGCCCCTGCTACCCCTTCTGTTCAAAAGGCAGCTCCCGGATGGGAAAACAGCATGGCAGTGAAGGACGGAAAAACAGCAAAATTGCGCCGAAAAACTGCCTAATGTAACTTCTGAAACGCATAGAGAAAGATGAGTTTAGCTACTTCTGAATGAGTTTAGCTACGTCTGAAACCCATAGAAAAAGATGAGTTTAGCTACTTTTTCCTCCTGCTGCTGCTGCTACTCGTGCTGTCGTCGTCGTTGTCGTAGTAGTAGTCGTAGTAGTCGTAGTAGTCGTCGTAGTAGTAGTAGTAGTAGTGGTCTTCTTCCCTTACGCGCTCCCCCTTGCGTCGGCCGGGGTCGGCGGATATGTATGTATACTGCTTATATAATATACACACATGATGTATGCATGACTACGTGACTACGCAAGTATGAACACATCTCTATGTATCTATATAAATCCAGGTCTTAGATATCCATTATAAATTTCCACTAATAATCCACCAATAGGCCATTAATAATTCCATTAATAATCCATACATTCTCCATGAATTTACATATTTACCAATTTCCATTAATTATCCAATTATCCCTTTACTTTCCTTTGGGTCTGGGATGACCCTCATCGCTGAGGCCGTCCAGGAACCGCCGGTAATTAACTTCACTCCGGCGGTCACTCCGCCGGCCCCACAGATGCCTCAAACATCACAGGTGCCGAGGGGTGATGAGGGGTGAAGCCTTCAACCATGAAAGCCATGGATTTTTGATGTGGTAAAGCCATAAATAGCCATCAATTTTAACCATAAATGGGAGGTGTTTGGACCATCCCCACATGGGTGATATGAAAAACCCATGATTTTGAAATTTTGAACATTGCTCATGTAAGGGGGAAACAAACATTCCAAAGATGGGATAGGTAGTTCAGTTTGTTTATGACTTATTTAGTGGCATCTCTGCGTTGACGGCTCCGCCAATGCCCAGATGCCTTCTAAAACCTGCCAATGGATGTGATTTGTTTCCAGTGCCAATTTCTTTTAAGGTCATGGGGAATGGATCGAAGTGACTATATTCAATATAGAGTGGGCTGGTTTCTATTTCTCGGGAACCTACGGTTTTCAAGCGTCACACTATGGTGACTATTGTGACTATGGCTCAAACATAGGGTGCTGATGGACCCGCAAAGCTCTGGTCATTCCCAGAATGTTTCTGAGACAATTCCCATGCATGAAAGTGAAAAAACACGTGAAAATACCACACCATTTTGTTGCCTTGGAGAAAATTATGATCTTTACCCCCCCGGTCCTTTAATTTTGATATATTTTTTTTCAGGACGTTTTCCTTGTGACAGTGACAGGTGGCGATGCTCTTGGTAGCTCCAATGGTCTGTCAGCCGATGCACGTGACGCCTGTGGGTTCTCCTTGCGCGCCCAGCCGACAGCTCCAGGCTCGATGTTCGCGAACTAAAGCTCCAGTTCGGGAACGTTTCCAGCTAGCTATGTTTCATTGCCGGAGTATAGAATTATGTACATCATATATATATATGTAATTATATGTATATGTATATGTAAATGTATGTGTATGTGTATGTGTATGTGTACAATATATATAATTATGTATTGTTATGTATAATTATATATAACTATATATAATTATATATATAATTATATATATATTCATATATATATAATTTTATATATAATTATATATATAATCATATATATATATAATTTTATATATAATTATATATATAATCATATATATAATTTTATATATAATTTTATATATACAAGGAGGGCCCTCAATGAAGAGGGCTGAAATCAGCGTCCGTTAGCGACCCCAAATTCAGACCTTTTGCACACACAGCACGAGGCCCCACGTATAGGGTCAAAGCAGGCGACTCCCCCCAGCACCCCCAGGATCAATGTTGTTTCCTGGTGTTAATCACTGCAGCAGCCAACTTCCAAAGCGTCAGGTCTTCACAGCAAGACATTTTCGTCAACCTTGATTCCGGGGGGTGCAGGGGGGGGCCAACATGTGGCCGGAAAGGCCCTTTGAATTAGGAAGAAACACATGTGCCGTCACTGCAGGTGGCACATCACAGCTGCAAGATGAAACCGCGTGATGTTTGTGTGTGAAACTAACAATGATCAATGGCGATGTCAATCTTTGCATTGGCTCCACTGCAACACTAGCATGCTTCGGTGTGAAACTACTAAGCACGATGTCACAACTTTATATTGGCTCTGCCGCAAAACTACTATGCTTCTGTGTGAAAACTACTAAGGGGAATTTCAAACTTTGTATTGGCTCGGTGGCAAAACTACTAAGGAATTGTTCAATGGACAAAAAAGGAAACACTTTCTTCTATTTCTTTTCAATTGGCAGAAATCCTTAGTAGTTTTGCGTCCAAGCCATTGTGATTTCAATTTCACGGGTTAGTAGTTTTTCATGCGTGCATGAGCTGTGACTCTGCCGTGCCAATACAAAGTCTGCGAAAATGGTTGGAAGTATCCTTAGTAGTTTTTTGGGGCCACAGCAAAAACAGGTGCCAAAGCACGCAAAAACGTGTTTTTGATGCCTTGGGAGACAGCAGTCGTTAGGTAACCTGCCGCGTGTGACTTCACCACATTCCTGTCTGACTCCTTTAGAGACAGCAGTCTCAAGTGCTTCAGTGAGACATATAGTTTTGAGGAAGCTGCTGCTGACTCCTCGGGAGACAGCAGTCACAAGTGCTTCAGTGAGACATATAGTTTTGAAGAAGCTGCTACTGCTGACGGGTCATTTTGAAGGCCAGGAGCCACGAGAGGTCTTGGGTGCTCAGTTTGCCCGCCGATTTCAGGACTCTGCGTCGTTTTTTCTCCTGGCGCAGAGCTGAAACAAAAAGATTGAAAGTACAAGTGGTGCGATGCAGGTGCAATGCAGCTTCACCAAAAAAAACCTGAGATGGGAAAGATGAAGGTGCAAGTGGCACGATGGAATGTCAATACAGCTTCACCAACACAAACATGGCACACAAGGATGAAATTGAACCAGCCCGGGCCTTGACTTCTCGACTGGTTTGCTGCAGCTGGCGTTTCAAGGCCTGCCTTTGACCTTTCAAAGCAGCTATACGGTCATCCATCCCGGGCACATGGGCTACAGCAGCACCTTCCGCAGCATCCCTTTCCATACCAGCGGCGGCAGACGACATGGCTATAGATATAATTAAATTGTGTTTTCTGCGACGAGCTGTGAGCAGTGCTAGCTGCAGAAGCCATGCCGTCTGGACAGCTTCCATGCCAATTTTCTCAAACTGCACAACTGGAAGATAGTGTGACAAAACATGGCCGGTGGGGGCCCAAAACTGGGGGCTTGAAAAGTCATACCAAAGGGACTCCCGTACCATGTGCCCCCATAGTAATTATATATATATATGATCAGATATGTGTACAGTGTAGACTATGTCACATGTAGCATATATGTTTGTATGTGTGCTGCAGCCATTTTAGTGCTTTCAGCTACCTTCGAGCTGACTGAGTGAAAAGGTGCTGATCAGTGCTCAGGAGTGTTCATCAGATTTAAGAGCCCAAATTCTCTGTTCATGGTAGCGGAGCTGAGGTTCTGATACCCAGCTGTGAATGTGTAGGTGTCAACGCCGAGCTGCATCAGCTCTGGCGCGCCTACCCATTGCCAACTGGAAAAGGTTGACACTCAAGCTCCTGAAAATCAGGAAAATCCAAAGATACTTCCATAACCTTGGAGTGCATCTCCAAAGGTACCCAAGGGTTCTCTTGAATCAGGTATCAAAGCACCTGAAGAACGACTAAGGATGGCTCAGCAACAGCAGCCACCTCAGCAACCAGGCACTCCACCAGCACCAGCACAAGGACAGACCAACGGTCCCAACATGTCCCAGATGGTTATGCAGATGATGGCCCAATTGACTCAGGGTCAGGCGCAGTTGAATCAGGCAATGACCGAGGCTATGAACCAGCAGCTACAGATCAACAGAAATGTTGAGAGGTCTGTTGAGTACAAAGACAGATCAGAGTTGAAAGGCATACCCAAACCTGATAAGTTCATGGAGCATCAGGCACTTGGGATAGTTGGTGGTACAAGTTTAAGACATGGGTTGAAAGTTGCCACAAGAATGCTGTGAAGATTGTGGCACAAGTTGAATCTCAGTGTGACAAAGAGATCACTGAGTCAAGTCTAGAAGTAGACTTTGATGAAGGCGCCGAGCTAGTTTCAGCTCAGGCTAGACAAGCCCTCATATCATTGACTGAGGGAGAAGCGTTGGAAATTGTCAAGAACACATCTCGTGGTAGCCACTTTGGCCTAGAAGCCATGAGACGACTGTTGTGCAAATATGATCCTCAAAATCCTCAAGCCAATTCAGCCTTGTTGAAAAAGGTTCTGCATCCAAGTCAATGCAGTCTTGATAAGCTTCGAGAAGGGCTTGAGAGTTGGGAGAACTTGAAAAGAAAGTACGAAGACAGGAGAAAGAAACCACTTGAAGATGACATCTGCAGGAGTTGCTTGCAGCAGATGTGTCCCAACAAGTTGCAAGATCATTTGGACTTGCAGGCTTCGAGATTGACCACGTATGACCAGGTGAAAGCTGAAGTTTTGGCCTACCTTGAGAACGACGAGACCAGGAAAGAAGCAAAGTCAGGAGCCGTTCCCATGGATGTGGATTCCCTTGCTAAGGGTAAGGGAAAAGGAAAACATGATAAAGGGAAAGGCAAAGGTAAGTCCAAAGGTAAAGACAAAGGAAAGAGTCAGTCTTCGTCTTGGTCAAACAATTCATACAACAAGTCTTGGAACAATCAGTCTTGGAACAATCAATCTTGGAATCAGCAGTCTTGGTCTAAACAGAATACCAATGACTCCAAGAGCAAAGGCAAAGGTAAGAAAGGTCAAGACAAAGGTAAAGGAAAAGGGGATCAAGGCAAAGGTCGTAAAGTTGCTAATGTTGAGTCTGACACTTGGGCTCAAGAGCAACAACCTGCAGCCTCATCTGGTGATCAACCTGAACCAGAGATCACTGCGCTGTTTGCCTTGGAAGACACTATGCCACCCAAGTCTGAAGCTCGAGATGAATCTTCTCGTCGTGGTCGAAGCCCAAGACGAGCAAACCTTCAAGCACCTTCAAGGAGCACTGTGACCAGGAGCGCTATCGTCATGGCTCAGAGCGCTTTGGCATCAGCTTCTGGGTCTAACAAGGAGCTGTTTGGCAAGATGATTGCTCAGGCTGAGAGCGCTGTCAAAGAAGCTCAGGACAAAGGGCGTCAAGCAAATCAAGCTCTTAAGGAACGCCAAGAAGCCCTGGACAAGTTGAAGAAAGAGGCAGCCCAGCATCACAAAGAGGCCAAAGAGGCAATGGCCAAAGTGAGGGCAGAAGGCCGTGCTGCTTCAGCACCGGCTGCACCCTCTCGTCGGATGCAAGCCGACCTTGATGCTGGAGTACATCCAAGAGCTGCCAAGAAGAAGGAGAAGGACAGGCAGAGAGCTGCCAGTCATCGAGCAGCCACTGCTGGACAAAGAGCATCCAGCTTCAAGCGCTATGAGTTGGCCACCTTTGGACAGGCCAACCCTGACAAGTGGGACAAGGATGACATGGGAGATCTTCCTGAACCTCCCAAAGCAAGAAAGCTGGAACCTAAGCGCCACAGAGGAGGACGTCATTGGTCTGACAGACGTAGAGCAGATGAAGCAAGGAAGAAGGCCAATAAGGAGAAGATGAAAGAGATGAGCAAGGATGAGATCCCACAATGGATCCATGACAAGTGTGAGATTTCCTCTGAGGAGAGCATTTCCTCTGAAGGATATGAGTTTGTCAGCAGACTTGAAAAGCTGAAAACCGATCCTGAAGTCCTCAGCAAGTTGGACAACGTCTTGAAGGAAGCCTACGAGAAAGCCTATGGTGAAGTTCTTGACCTAGGATCTTCTGATGAGACAGATCCAGACGATTTGCCCTACAACCAGGAGCCAGCACCAGGCATGGAGGATGTGGTCGAGCATTGGCAGAATTCCTTTCGAAGACCCATTCCATTCAAGGAGTTGCATGAGAAGTGCAAAACTGTCTCCAACAAAGGGTATCCCTATGTGAAGTGCCAGTCATGTGGAAAGGCACTCAACTCCATGAGCGTTGCAAGCTTTTGGCAACATGTGGAGAACAAGCAATGCTATCCTCAGTATGCCCTGGAGTTTTGGAAGAAAGAACATCGTCAGGTAAAGGCAGAGAGAGAGGCACGAGAAGAAGGAGAATCATCCCAGAAGCGCCCCATGGATGATGCAGAAGCCAAAGATGAGAAGAGGCGCCAAGAGATTGCCAAGGATGAAGAAAGGAAGAAGCGCAAGCAAAGCTTTGAGGAGCACTACGAGCGCTTCAGGCACAAGGGCAAAGATGAAGTGAAGCCCGAGGTGAAGAAGATCCCCAAGAGGCCAGGGGAGAAAGAGAAG